AATTAGAGACAACAACTACATCAGGCAAAGACCATATGGAAGTGCCATCACCAAACGTGGCCATGCGGGAGAAAGGCTCTAAGGAAAAGTGGGTGCGAGCTGACCCATGGAAGCACTGGGAAGAAAGCCCTGAGTGACAAGATGTCAGTGTTCTCCATGATTGGCCTTGCTTGGTATCTCATGTACACGTGGCTTGTGGGGTAGCTGTTACACCCAGGCCTTGCAGCCTAGAGAGCTGCTGGGAACAGGACAGCCCTAGTCAGAATTTGTACCCCAGGCTGGAAAACTGGGGAATTCCAGTTTGGATGGTCTCGATCTCTTGACCTCATGACCCACCCACCTCACCCTCCCAAAGTGTTGGGATTACAGGTGTGAGCCACCGCGCCCGGCCAGCGTCATTCTCAGTGTAACCAAGAACTAAGGCATTTTATTCATAATAAAGACGTTCTAAAGTTATGTGAACTACATGAGCTCCTCCAACCCCAAGTCAAAATCGTAGAATCCATGCTAGGCTTTTACTCACATCTCTTCGTTCTGCTACTGATGGTCACATAATGAAGTGACAAAGTAAACTGTTATTTACACAGTATAGAATATTAGCACTCACACCTGCCACAGACAGCTCACCACCATTATACATTATACATCTCCAATGAGTCCTGCCCTTGGGTGTTAGAGCTAAACAAGACCAAGACAGGAACCAGCTCAGCCATCTGCCTAGGCAGCCATGAGCGGGTGGTGGGCATATGAACACTGGACTCGAATTGGAAAGACCTCAGAGGCCATTTAAAATGACACACTGCATGGCTGACACGTGTGTGACAAGAACAGAGCTAAGAACGTCAACACCCTTACCCTTTTTATTCCTCAGAAAATCCTGCGAGGTAGGTGCTATTTTTATATAATAACTGTTACCCTTATTCCTCTTTAGAAAATGTGGAAACTGAGGCACAGAGAAGTTATGCCACTTGCTCAGTATCTCACAGTCAGCACACGGGCGACATAGGATGCCCCCACAACTGTGCTCTTGCAATTGGTGTCCAGCAGCCTCTGAACAACTGAGGAAGGTTCATCCAATAGTGCAAAACTGGGCTGTAGGTGCCCACAAGGAGGAGCCAGAAGTGCTCATGGTCTTCAAGGCCCCTATCTCTCCATCTCCCATCTGCTTGCCTGTTACCAGCAATAAATATGGGCATGTCTAAGCATCATTTGTCCCCTGGAATATCCTGGAATACAAAACCT